AAATATTTTTTTATCAATTTTATTTATTTTTAATAAAATTAATTTTAATGTAAAAAATATATTTTAAAAATATTTATTAATAACTTTAAATAATATCAAATATAATATCAAATAAAATTATTAATATTTTATTTTTTTAGTAGTACCAAATAAAATTATTAAGGCGATAATATATCAAAAATATTCTACATTAGAATGATATTACAAAAGGTTATATTGGTTATAATATTAAATTTATAATGATTTAATGGAGTGACTAATTAGATATATAAAGTATGAATGAAATGATTTGGTATGATTATGTTATAACCAATGAAGGTATTTTTGATAATGGCCTTGAGCCCGATTTCACCAACAAAGCTAAAGATAAACCCAGGTTTCAGTGAAGGTGAAAGCAGAACAAGAATAAAGCCCAAAAAACGGGGGAGAGAGAGACGATGGCTGTGTAGGTCGGGAAAATCACCCAAATAATCCACTTGGGTTGTATCTATTTCAGTGTACATCACCCATAAATTTTTTTTTTTTTTTCAATTTTAACCCACTTTCGTTTTATTTTTTACGACTTTATTACGATTAACATATAACTGATATACAATTAAAAATAAGACAAATAATTTTTTGCCACCTTTTTAGAATCAATTGTAACTATATTTAGACTTAATTACGAAGTCGTAATAACGAAGTTTTCGAACAGAAAAATGTGTTATGTTTTCGGCAGTGTACAGATGCGACCACTTGACAAGTGGGTTATTTGGGTAAAAAAACCCGTGTAGGTCTCCATCCTCGCCGTCGTCACCTCCCTTCACCTCATCGCCTTCGTCTTCGCCATCTGCGCCGAGAGCCGCCGTAGCACAGTACCTCTCTCTCTCTCTCTCTCTCTCTCTATTTTTGTTATTTTTTAATGTTTTTCTCAGGCGGAGCGTGTCCAGTACGACGAGGCAACCTACCGCTTGTACAGAACTGAGGCGACGACGATGTACAGACTGTCGGCTTTCGGACTGCTCTCGTTAGGCAGACAGTGGTTAACGGCGTCGCCAAGCGTCTCTGCTTCGGGAAGGGTCTCTTCACCGGCACTTCCTACACCGTTTGGGCCATCGTCTTCTTCCTTGTCTCTTGGTAAAATTTCTCAGTTCTCGTTGTGGTTCGTTGTGTTGAACGAGGCCTTGAAATTATGTTAATGAAACTCTATTATTCACATGAATGAGTGATTCTAAGCAACAGAAAAATCTGGTGTCTCCTTGCCGTTGGTGATCTAGCAATTAGGGCTGATTACAATACCTAATTTTTCCTTTTTTTGTATATATTCAGATATTTGTTTCTATGTTTTGTATATTAACCGTTGTAGCTTTACCCTTTAAATAATCTTGTACACTTTGTTAAATAATAAGAAACAGAGGAAACAGTCCTCCTCCTCCTCCTTTTATCACTCTGTTACAAAAATATAATATCCAGCTTATCATAAACCAAGACCACTCGAATTCTGACATGGTATCCGAGCAGGATCGTTCATGGACACATTCGTCTCACATCGGCATCTTCCAAGCAAAACCGTAAGCCTCATTTCACATCTTTCATTCCTTACATCTAACACCTTCAATTTCTTGGTTGCATAACCATGGAATGGAAGGTTCGTTTCAAAGGATAATTCCCATTGTTCTCAATGGAGAAAGTCATTTGAATTTGTCCAGATCCGCAAAGACTACTCTTCGAAGCAAATGTCTTTGGGAGCATGTGACAACCGATAAGGTATTTGCGGACAACACAACAAATTCAACCGAATCAAAGTGGATAAAAGAAGACCAAGTGGTTATTTCTATCCTCCAAAGCTCCTTTGACATGGCTGTTCTTTCGTCCTACAATCACATTGAAGTGGCCAAGGTATAGTGGAATGCTCTCAAACATGTATACGGTAATGGTTCTAGCATTAGTCATATCTTTGAAGTCAAAAGAAAGCTTTGGAGCCTTCAACAAGAAGAGAAACCGTTTAATGAGATTTTGGGGAATTTTACCTCTTTGTGGGCTGAAGTAGATGAGCTTCAACCACCATCAACCGATCCACAAGAGACCGAGGGACATGAACAAGGGAAGGTATTTCTTCTTCTATCTACTTTGAATGGCACTTACCGTGAGCTTATTCATATGATACTTAGGGAAGAGAAGTTACCTTCCTTCGAACAAGTTCATTCCAAAAAAAAAAAAGAGGAAGGGGGTAGAAAGCTCTTTCAAAGTCATAGTGAAATTGCTTATAAAAGGATCTTGACGAATTTCTCCATACTTCTGAACCATTGCTCGTATATATGTCTCTTGGAATCGACAGTCGAACCAAAGATTTTTCAAGTTGTCTGTAGACTGTAGTTTCCTAAAAGGGTCTTTCGATGTCACGTTGGAGAATTTGGTGACGGTGGAGAGAAAAGTTTCTACTTTATTCAGACGTGGTTCTATGTATATATACAAGTTTCATACCTTGACCTAGTATATGAGAAAAGGAAACCCAATATATGATACAATAGTTTCCTTATACATTGTATAGTCTATTATTCGATGCTATTTCTGAATTTCTCTTGAATTATGAGTTATTTAGGGAAGAATGGAATTGGGATTAAACTGTTGTGATGTTTCAATAGTCTTTGGCTAATTTACAGCAGGTTTTATCTTTCCGTTATTGATGCTTGGAGGTTCCTGTCAGATAAATGGGACAGATGAAAAACTAGAACTTGAACATTTTTTGGGGTCCTCTTTCCATTTCCGTGCAAGAAGCTTTTTATATTAGTTGAGTTTTGTGGTGACAGAACTATTGTAGCCTTTATATCTATCTTGTCCTTTTCACTTATTTTGTGAAGGATGATGCTTCAGGTGAAGTGGGTCTTCCATTTCATGATCTTCCAACTTGTTCAAGTTGATACTTACAGTTAAGTAGGTTTATTGGCTTGGTCAGGTGATTGATCGGTCATCTTCAGCTTCATTTAGCTTTTGCCCCTAACTCTTTGTTGTGAAGATATCGATGTAAATATCTCAGTTTTCCTTTTTGAGTTTTTTGCTGCGTTTTTTTGTTTTTGCAATTGCATTCTCATGAGATGTTCTTTCCATCTAGCCAGATCCGGAGAGGATATGTGTGTGCTGTTTGCATATTACCGAAAACATTTGTGGTATAAAAAAATACAGGGTGAGCTTTCTGGGAGCAGAGGCATGCTTGTTGGCTGGATGAGCAAGGAATGCATACCACACCAAAAGGAAAGGCATCTACAAGGAGAAAGAACTTTCATGTGCCTCACTACCCGTAGGGGTCTTTGCCGCTAGAGCAGCTTTAACGCTGTTGTCACTGGCAGCGTCAATTCTTTACTACCGAGCTCACTCTAAGGCTGACACTGGTGGGTGGGAGAAGCATCGGAATGAAGGGGTTGTCATGACGACTGCTTCAGGTACTCCTAAGCAACAGAGCTCTGAGCTCGAGAAGGCTTAAAACCCTAACTTTCGTTTTGCTTGGTCTTAACTTTCAAGATTGAGGAATATGAGAAGCAGACCCGTCTTTTTTTGGTCATCGGCATTGTCTTATAGGTTATGTTGGCTATGTACGTGTATCAGAAATGTAGATTAAGTGCAATATGGGGTGTGTGTTATAGAGCATATGAGTATTCTGGGGAGAGAAGATGCTGTGTTGGTTGTACAATTGAACTCAAGATGTGGAATCTAAAGCTATTTTTTTTTGGGGAAAAAAAAAGAGAAGATTTTGGCTTCTTGGGCCAGTTTCTCTCGGCTTCAACTTGGAATATTCTTGCAGAAGAAAGGTTTGTTCTGCTTAGGATCACCTTTGCATAAGGAATGAAGAGTTTGTCACAATTTCAAGGCCTTGTTAATGGATGAGCTTGCAACATGCCGAAGCCATTCTTTTCCCTTCTGAAACTGGTTTCTTCACTGCTAAGCCAAGAATCACACCATATCGGATTCTCCAGACCAATATAAGCCATGAACCGTTGAAAGCATTTCACCGGAAAGCCGAGAAATAAGCCTAGAGTTGTTAGATTTTTATCAATCATGCCGACCCATGAACTTGCTTCTTCTTTTTCGACGAGATTCTCCAGCAGGGGAAGGTCTCTGCACCAAGCTCTTGGAGGAGGGCAGTGTAATATATATATATATATATATCTTTTCTTGGATCTTTTTTTCTCTCTTTGTTGTACCAATTCCTGTTCCCGGTGGAGACAATCTGAACATTTTGGTATGATTCTTGCAGTTGCTGATATAATTTTCTGGAGGAACAAGAAGTTATCTGCCGCAGTACTGTTGGCTTTCACCCTTGTATGGTTCTTGTTCGAAGTTGTGGAGTACCCTTTCGTCACCCTTCTCTGCCAAATCCTACTGATCTCCATGTTTATATTTCTGATATGGTCTTACATCGGTTCCACGGAACTGATCCACCGGTAATAAAAAAAATCGTTATGAAACTCTCGAGGATTCGTTTTTATGTAGTCTCTGAACAAGAAAACGATACCGAATTCTCAGGAAACCACCGAGCATGAACGATCTAAGGATTTCGGAATCGACTTGGAGATTCTTGTTTGCGAAGATCAACTGGTTCATCATGAAAGTATACGATCTCTCAAGTGGAAAAGACTTTAGACTCTTTGTCCTGGTACATATACATATACAATATACACACCCTTTCTTCACATTCAGATCGAATCTCCTCAATATCTTGACACAGCTCTTATACTCTGTTCAGGCCGTTGCTTCGTTGTGGATATTATCAGTGGTTGGGAATTATTTCAGCTCCCTTACACTATTATACATTGGTGAGACAACCAAAATATCTTACGATTTATAATTTTCTGACAGAAGAGATTCTGATTCTGATTCTTTCTGCCAAAGTGTTCTTATGTTTGGAAACGATCCCGGTCCTGTACGAAAAGTATCAAGGAGAACTGAATTATGTTGCGAGCAGAAGCGGGAGGGATGCGAAGAAGCTGTTTGACGAACTCAACACTAAAGTGATCAGCAAGATCCCCAAAGCTCATGTCCGAAAATAGAAAGTCTTGTGTATTTCTGCAAACTGTTTATGTAAATATCAAGATGTTTCATATTCATATATACATAGATATCATGTAAAACTCATGGAACTGAATCTTATTTAATAGTATCCTGTAATCATAATCTCTTGTTAGAACAAAAATTTGGGTATAGAGCAGGATATAAACAAATAGAGAACCGGATAACTCTTCTAAAAGTATGGATCACTTTCCGAAAAACGTTATTCTGTCCCAAACGGGCAAACAGAAGTTAATCGCCGAGTTTATTGTCCTCGGTCATGGCATTTGACCACCAATTAATCGCCGAGTCAAGCACTGAAACAGCACCGTTAGTGTCACCAGCATGCTCTTTGAGGGTAACAATGGTGGCAACAGTAACGGGAATGTGGTGGATATCCAGTATCGTGGACAGAGACTCTGCTGCAACAAGAGGATGGTTGGCGGAAGCAGCAATCTGAGCCCTAGCCCAGAGAACTGACTTAGATCTCTCAAGAAATTTCTTGAGCCTGAGGAAAAAAAGTTTAATCGTTTAACTGGAAGAAGAGGGGCAAAGAGTAGAAGGGATAGTTATATTTCAAGGTGGAAGGACCTGATCCATCTTATTTGCTTGAAGAAGAAGAAGAAGAAGAAAAGGACCCCATCGTCATATATGGGAAAGCTTTACATCTGAGTGCATGAGAAAGCTGAAAGGTCTGGGAGTCGTTTTCTTTAAGCTGGTTGAGTTTCTGATTGCCAGAAACGTCTTTTGGTGCTTTCAAAGCAATGAGGTTGTTCTGCATGCATCTCCATACTAAAGGATTTCAATAAACGAACAAGCAGTATTATAAGCCAACTCAAAGCTGCTGGAGTTGCCTTGATGACCCTCAGAGATTCCAACTCACTCCTTGCACATCAGAAGATCTCACAGCCGAGACCAGGCTTGCAATGATATTGATTTCCAAGGTCTCGATCTTTGACTTTTGAAGATTCTGTGCCTCTAACAGGGAACTTGCAGAATCCTTGTCTTGTTTTTTCAGACACGCGAATGCGTCATCTAACTTGTTTCGATGGTATAGGCAGTATGCCTGTCCACAGAACAATGAGAAATCACCCATTCCATTAGACCCAAGTCATCAAGTTGCATCCTTCAATCATTTCAACCATCCATCCCAACTTTCCTTTAGTCAAATTGGCAATGGAAAATCACAAACCGGATTTGAATAAGAAATGAAACTTCTCAAGCAATGCCCTTTGAACACACTCTTCAAAGGGCTGACCAAATGTACAAAATGTAACCTTCTGAAAACCAAATTCGCTTGGGATTCTGGGATGATTGAATAACAGTGAGAGCTTTCTCGATCTTATCGTCTTTTATTAGAGCCACAACTTTGCATCGGATAGCATCCGCATCGCCAGGTGCGATGGACAAAACTCACCAAATTCATACACGTTTCAGAACCATGACAAAATTCTTCTAAACAAGGGCATTACTTAAGGAGAAGCAAAAAAAAAAAAAAAAAAAATCTGACCTTGATCGAAGCCCTTAACAGCTTGTTCGTTTTCAGGTCGCTCGATATGCCTGCTGAGAGATGTGAAGAGATCTTCGATTGCGCTGCGATGGCGAGGTTTCGGGTTTTTCATTTGGCTTTGGAGCCTGATTTTCCTCACGCGCGAGAAAACAATTGCAGATATTCTGTAGAACCAAGCACCGGAGAAGACTATGAATGGAAACACACCTGATTTTGAGTTTTGGAACGCAGGTGTTGAATGGAGTTGGTTTTTATTTTGGATTTTTGGTTTTAATTTTTGGTTTTTGATTTTTAATTTTTGATTTTTAGTGTTTGGATTCTATAAGTTTATAAATCTAAAAAATTGTGGTTTTTAGTTGTTAGTTGATTTTTTTTTACAAAATAGATTTCGGATTTTTAGGAAAACCAAATTAAAAGGAATTTGATTATCATTTTTTGACTTTTTAAAATCCAAAAAAGATTTTAGATTTTAATTTTGTGTTTGTATTTTATAGATTTGTAAATCTTAAAAATATGTTTTTGATTTTTTGATTTTTTGATTTTTTTACTAGATTTCCAAATTTAAAAAAAAAAGTTAAATCTTTTGATTTTTAATTAATTAGTTCATTAAAATAATTTTTCAAATCTTTTAAAAAACCAAAATTATAAAATCTTGACTATTAATTTACCTTTGAATTTTAAAAATCCAAAACGCTTGAAATCTGGATCGAGCTTCAAATTTTTGATAATGTTATCCTCTTCTCTATAAAGAACCAATAACTGCTACCGTGAAAATTAACAAATAGACCCAAATTGGAATAATGAGTACCAATATTGGGCTTATGAGCCTAAATAAATTATGATCCGATTATATCGTTATAATTTTAATAAATCAATATTGAAAATCTTATAATTTTTAATACTATTTTATTAAAATAAAATATAATATACAAAGAACAAACAAGACAATCGAATCATAATTTATTTAGGTCTCTATATATGTAATATATAATATATATATCATGATTTTCAACATTCATTTATTAAAATTATATATAATATACAATGAACCAACAAGACAACCGAATTATAATTTATTTAGGTCTCTCTTTAATATATATATATATATACATATATATATATATAATCCAAAAATTTAAGATTGACTTAGAAAGTCTATATACTCTAAGAGTTATAAGTTATATATACGAGTAAATTTGCACAAATATATCAATTTTGGAGAAAAATTAGAAATGTATATTTTTTTCGTCATTTGCAAACTTTACTTTTATATGAAATTTTACAAAAAAATACCTTTGATTTTATTACCTAATTTTTTATTGTTATTTAATGTCCTGAATAATCTTCAAAATGAAAAACAGTTTTTTAGGACGAAACAAGTTTTGCATAATAAAACTATTTTATCTTGGAGAACTTGTTTCGTCTAGAAACTCTTCAGGATAAAATTGATTCATTTAGGAGAGTCTGTTTTCGCACGAGAGCTCTTCAAGATTAAACTATTTCGTTCGGGAGAACCTGTTTTCGTTCGGAAGTTCTTCAGGATGAAACTATTTCATCCGTGAGAGACTATTTTCGTCCGAGAGTTCTTCATGATGAAACTGTTTCGATGAAAGAACGTTTTTCGTCCGAGAGTTCTTCAGGATGAAACTGTTTCTCTGGAAGAATATGTTTTCATATGGAAACTCTTCACGATGAACATGTTTCGTCGTGAAGAATCTGTTTTCGTCCGAAAAAATCTTCAACATGAATGTTTTGTCCGAGAATGCATATTTCATCGTAGAATCTCTTCGAAGAAAAAAAAAAGTATTTTGCAAATTTTTAGAGTGTATAATGGTATTCTTGATATTAATTGAAAAAAAACATAGTATGCAAATACCTCATAATTTTTGGTACACTTTTCAAACACATCTTATTTTTTGGTACACTTTAACAAGAACCCCTATACATATTCTAACACAAAATCATATGGGTATGAGATTTAAAAATATTAGTAAGCCTTAACTGATGAATATGGTGTTCTGCCCATCATTGGTTTGCCAAATTGATTAGAAATCTATTGGATTGGTTTAAGTGGCTCAATAAACCCATATGATAAATAATGAGACTAATGGATTTAAGTTCTCTTAATTGTTAGGTTTAATAGACCCATTTAGTTTAATGAAACTCTAATTGTCTTATAAGTTGTGTTAGACATAATTAAAAAAAGATTAATTAAGGAAGAAAAATCAGATTTTTCTTTTCTCTTTTTTTTTTTTTTCTCTTGGACGAACTCTCTCTCTCTCTCGGGGGTGCATCGTTTTAAGTTTTTGACCTCCACATCATGTTCTAGCAGACACAAACCTGTGAATGTAGACTAGATGTGGAGAACACTTAATTTTCAACGCTTGTGACAGATCTTTGAATCGAAACATGTCTGTCTTTCAAATAAAATAGAGACCTGGGTTAGCTAAGTTAGAAATTTCTAAATATAGCGTAGAAAATTCACGAATGTAGTTCCGAATTGTCTCCGTCTGTCGGAGGTATCAAAGTCATGTGCATACCTCATCTCGACATTCGAGGGATGAAGCAACATTGGATGTAATACCCCGAATCCAGATCTGAATATTTAATTAATTTTGAAAAGAATAATTAAATAGGCGGGTCTTAAAACTTTTAAAAATAGACCATAAGGTACCATGAAGAAGTCCGGGACCGTCATGTACGAGAAAAACGAGAAAATGTGAAGATTTCTTTCGGTTCGGGTTGGACTAGAAGCTAGTCAGGGACGGACCAGATAACAGACTGACGGACTGGGCTGGGGAGGACATACCAAAGCAAAATAACGTGGAAGTAGGAATTCTAAGTTCGTCCGGGTTGGACCAAGATCTGGTCTGGGTCAGACTAACCTACTCAGCTTGTCAGGCGGACCAACGCAAGGAAAGACGGACCAAAAATCTGAGTTAGTCAGCCCGGTCCGGCGGATCAAAATCCTGATCTGGCGGACTAGCAGTGCAAAAATCTGCCAGCGAAGCAACCACTTTCCCACGCGATTTTCTCGCGTCAAACTGACCCACACCTACTCCACAGCCGCCCGACATGAAGTGGGAGACACCACCTAACCCCTACACTGGTCCCCTCAATGCCTAGCTCTCTCTCCCTCTCATAATACCCTCATCATCTCCCTCACTCAGCCATTTTCGGACTGAAAATTTCAGAAAACAGAGAAGGGGGAAAAGAGAGGGAAAGAGTCGACAGTTGGATGAAGCTCGGAGAAACATAGAGGAACCTACCTGGGCTGTCCAGGAAGATATCTCGAGGTAGGAAAAATTGGAAACATCGTACAATCTCAGCCAAATCAGATTTAAAGCGAAATCTAACCCAAGAACAAGGTGGGTGACTTGAGTTGACTTTGTATAATCTCATTTTCATCGTCCGATTGTATTTTGGTCAGTGATTTGATACATGATTTAGAAAGAGACATAGTAATGAACATTTAGAAACAAACGGTGCGTGATTTGATTGAAAAATGAATGAGAACTAGCCAATTGAAGTTAACCAAAAAAATTGAAAAAGCGAAGAACTATTAGTGCGTCCGGTCCGCCGGACCAGGCGCTGGAAAACCAAAGGTTGGTTCGCCGTACCAAATGCTGAAAATGTAAAAAACTCTGTCGAACCAAAGAGAAGGGAACGCTGGTTTCCAAATTTTAAAAAAAAAATTAAATCTTTTGATTTTTAATTAATTAGTTCATTAAAATAATTTTTCAAATCTTTTAAAAAACCAAAATTATAAAATCTTGACTATTAATTTACCTTTGAATTTTAAAAATCCAAAACGCTTGAAATCTGGATCGAGCTTCAAATTTTTGATAATGTTATCCTCTTCTCTATAAAGAACCAATAACTGCTACCGTGAAAATTAACAAATAGACCCAAATTGGAATAATGAGTACCAATATTGGGCTTATGAGCCTAAATAAATTATGACCCGATTATATCGTTATAATTTTAATAAATCAATATTGAAAATCTTATAATTTTTAATACTATTTTATTAAAATAAAATATAATATACAAAGAACAAACAAGACAATCGAATCATAATTTATTTAGGTCTCTATATATGTAATATATAATATATATATCATGATTTTCAACATTCATTTATTAAAATTATATATAATATACAATGAACCAACAAGACAACCGAATTATAATTTATTTAGGTCTCTCTTTAATATATATATATATATATACATATATATATATATATATAATCCAAAAATTTAAGATTGACTTAGATAGTCTATATACTCTAAGAGTTATAAGTTATATATACGAGTAAATTTGCACAAATATATCAATTTTGGAGAAAAATTAGAAATGTATATTTTTTTCGTCATTTGCAAACTTTACTTTTATATGAAATTTTACAAACAAATACCTTTTATTACCTAATTTTTATATTGTTATTTAATGTCCTGAATAATCTTCAAAATGAAAAACAGTTTTTTAGGACGAAACAAGTTTTGCATAATAAAACTATTTTATCTTGGAGAACTTGTTTCGTCTAGAAACTCTTCAGGATAAAATTGATTCATTTAGGAGAGTCTGTTTTCGCACGAGAGCTCTTCAAGATTAAACTATTTCGTTCGGGAGAACCTGTTTTCGTTCGGAAGTTCTTCAGGATGAAACTATTTCATCCGTGAGAGACTATTTTCGTCCGAGAGTTCTTCATGATGAAACTGTTTCGATGAAAGAACGTTTTTCGTCCGAGAGTTCTTCAGGATGAAACTGTTTCTCTGGAAGAATATGTTTTCATATGGAAACTCTTCACGATGAACATGCTTCGTCGTGAAGAATCTGTTTTCGTCCGAAAAAATCTTCAACATGAATGTTTTGTCCGAGAATGCATATTTCATCGTAGAATCTCTTCGAAGAAAAAAAAAAGTATTTTGCAAATTTTTAGAGTGTATAATGGTATTCTTGATATTAATTGAAAAAAAACATAATATGCAAATACCTCATAATTTTTGGTACACTTTTCAAATACATCTTATTTTTTGGCACACTTTAACAAGAACCCCTATACATATTCTAACACAAAATCATATGGGTATGAAATTTAAAAATATTAGTAAGCCTTAACTGATGAATATGGTGTTCTGCCCATCATTGGTTTGCGAAATTGATTAGAAATCTATTGGATTGGTTTAAGTGGCTCAATAAACCCATATGATAAATAATGAGACTAATGGATTTAAGTTCTCTTAATTGTTAGG